AACTGCGGATTTATAGCAGAATTTGAGAATTCTTACCCAAATTATTTGGAACTGCTTCTTACGGTTGTTTTAAATGTCTATGTGTAAATCATCTGAAAGTACAGACTGAGAGGAAATCTGTTTACAAACGTGTTTCTATAGCCCATATACAATAGTGTGTAACGTATTCCGAATTCTATGCCATTGAGGTAAATATATAAACATTTAATGAAATGCCCTAGATGTTATTTTCTTATTACAAATGCAAATGGACTTTCTCCAACCCAGCACATCCAGGCAAACATCATGAATAAAAACAAGAATTTAATATCACATCCTGAAGGTCACAAAATTGGCATCTGGCCAAGTGCAAAGTAAAAGGGAATTGTGTAGGACCACGATTTTCTAGCAAAACTATTACCTTTCGATCTTATTAAGTTTAAATCTAGGGCATTTGCATTGCTATCACACTCCATTTTGATAGGAAAAAATAATCACTAGAGCAGAGTATACAACTCACTAAAAATCTTTTCCATGGGTTTTTTTTTAAATCATTTCTTCCCCATTCCCTCTGTAGTTCTCCAAAAGGCTTCTGTTAAATAAGATACGCTGGCAAAATTATTGTTATTTTAAAATCTACTTAGCTCCCTCATGGTAACTAAGAAGAAATGGCACAATGTCAAAGACTCCAGGAAGAACGTGAGACAGTTTGAGGTCATGAATGGAATCTGATGGGACAACTTCTGCTGAATCCCATCACCCCTCAAGTCTGCATCGAGTTAAGGATCAATGCTGTCAGCCACTGAGGGACCAACTTGCAGGAAGCAAACTCTTGAGAATTTAGCTTGAACAGACCCTTGCCTATGGAACCACCAGGATACTGAGAGTGTATGTGTGACTCTTCTAGGCACTGGGAATTCAGCTTTGAAGACAAAGACCTCCGTCTTCATGGTAAAATGTATAATCTTAGCTGGTAAGAAGTACTATGAAGAAAAATAAAGCAGGATATATGGAAGAAAGATGAAGAGCTTCCTATTTGTGCATGCACGTATACGTCACCTATGCACATTAGATCCAGGTCTATTACAATAGTATTGCTCTACATAAGCATAACAAGCATTACACGGGGCTATATAGGTATTTACTACATAAGGCTTACGATGATATTATAGCTCTCTACACATCACTTTTATGGGAGTGGTTATAGTGCTTACTTGGAATGCTGTGGTAACACACCTATACTATAGAATAGAACTAATTTCTTCTAGATTCATCACTAAAATGATCTTTGCTTGAAGGAGATGATAACATCATTTTGGCATTGCACTAATGCACCATAAGAAATGATTTGATTTCCATGCCTCTTAGAGCATTTTTGCATAGTTTTCCATCTCTGTTTTGTCAATATAGAAAAGCCAACAAATGTTTCTACTAATTATATTGCTTGTGATTGTTTCAGAAATTCAAAGCCTTCTGGACTTTCACTGTAGTGTAAGAAAAGAGTCAAATTCAATGTGGCCATTGGAAATTCAGATCCAGGTAATAATCAGGACCCCTCAGAAGAGGAATGGATAAAATGTGGCACACAATAAGAACGACACTGTGAATGTGATCTGTTGGCAAAGTGAATTACATACTCCATCCTCTTACCTTGTCTTCCCTGGATTTTGGGTAAATAGGGTAGTAGAGACAGGACTTATACCCTAAACGAAGGACCTCCTTCAGAAAGAACTTGGTGTAGTGCTGGAAAATGGGGTTGAGGGCAAAGTGATGCAGGCGACAGTGTTCCTCGCGCTGGTGGTGACTGAAGTAGATGAAATCTTCGATGTTGTAATGGGATCGTATGTACTCCACATCTTAGCGAAGAGGTGGGAGAGGACGTTTTAAACAAATGTTCTTTAAAAACTGCATGCATTTTGCAATAAAAATCTTTTAAAATTACTTTAAGTCCAATAGTGAGAAATGTGCTTTTCTCTCCTATTATTTACTGCCTCATTTTCATTGTTAACTTTTTCTTTTTTTAATTAGAAATTGTGCTTCCTGGAAGTTACTTGTTCTGATGGCTGTCTCTGGGGGATGGCTACACAGCTTTGCAATTTGTCCCTTACACACATGGCTCCTGATCACTCAGATAGCCCTGAGACTCTGCCACCAGCTGAGCAGCTGCACAGAAGCCCCTTGCCACTGCTGGGCGAGATGAGCATGAGCTGTCAGCACAAGTAACTGAGCACGTGGTAATGCAGGAGTTGAACAAATGGACCCGCTGGCATTCCCTTATTGGTTACTACTATACATCTGTCAACAGAAACATCCCAAAGTTACATACTTTTATTGGCACAGGTGGCTGGGCTGGCCTACAATAAAACTGTAAGGTTGGGCTTGTCCATGGGCATTCATTACATTTTCTATCTCCCGATGCACAATGTCTTTACATAGTAGAAGGTAATTTAAAGGACTGTTGAGTGTTTACATGTAAAAGGAGCTACTAGGCACATTCCTCCTGTTTCCTTGGGCCTGGTTATGGTCCCCATCCTTTGTCCCCACACTGCATGGAGAATCAGGAGCTCATCTATGCTAATTGTGTACTGCTTCACCTCTGAGCAGTGCACACTGTTGGGGGCAGGGGGAAGAGGGAAACAATCCAAAGGGATTGACTCTGATGCTCCGGTCTTTCTGCTTCCACCATCTTGCAATGTGAGACCCCTGGGTCACTGTCACCACCACCAGAAGGACTTTGGACTTCTCAGCCTCAGAAACTGTTTAAAGTCATTGTCTGAGGCTTCTGGTCAAGATGGCAGAGTAGACAGTTCCTAGTATCACTCTCTCCCACAAATCAACCAATTTGCAACTATTAAAAAGCAACAACAGGAGACTTGAGATCAGCACTGGAACAGGCAGGAGCTGCGTGACACAGGACCCCCAGTCTAGGTCAGTCCCCACTGCACAGAGAGGCCCAAGAGCCACTGGATCCACACGCCCTGAGTGAGCCACACTGGAAGAAGTGGGTGACATGGGACCCCCAGCCCAGTCCAGTCCTGCCATGCAGAGAGGCCTGAGAGATGCTGGGCCCATCACTCCAAGTCAGCTGTGCCAGAATAGGTAGGCAATGCAGGACCCCCAGCCCAGGTCATTTCCTGCTACTCAGAGAGGCTGGAGAGCCACTGGACCCACCCACCATGAGCCAGTTGTGCCAGAACAGGAAGGCACCATAGGACACCCAGCCCAGGCTACTTCCCACTGCCCAGAATTGGAAGTCCCTTCAGGATACAGGCCAGACATCAGGGTGGAATGAGTGGACCATGATACCCCCTGCCACAATGACTAAACACCAAAGGAAAGATACCAGAAATATGAAAAATCAAGAAAATACATCACCACCAAAGGAAAATAAGAACTCTAAAGATCTAGATCCTATAGAACAGGAAGTCCTTGAAATGACTGAAAAGGAAGTTAGAGCAACAAGTCTAAGGAAACTGAGATATAATAAAACTCAGACAACACAATGAAATGAGAAAAAATATACAGGATCTGAAAGAAGAAATGTACAAAGAAATCAATGCCCTGAAAAAGAATGTAGCAAAGCTTGCAGAGCTGAAGGATTCATTCAATAATATAAAAAACACAACAGAGAGTTTAACCAGCAGGCTAGAACAAGCAGAAGAGAGAATTTCTGACCTTGAAGACAGGCTGTTCAAAATAACACAGATGGACCAGAAAAAAGAATTCTAAAAATTGAAGAAAATCTAAAAGACATAACAGACAACCTTAAGTGCTCAAATATCCAAATCATAGGTATTCCAGAAGGGGAGGAAAAAGGAAATGGCATTGAAAACATATTCAATGAAATAAAAGCCAAAAACTTCCCAGGTATAGTGAAAGTAACAGATCTTCAGACTCAGGAGGCCCAAAGATCCCTAAACATATTCCCACAAAGGTCCTTTCCAAGACATGTTATAGTCAAATGGGTAAAACTCAAAGACAAAGAGAGAATCTTCAAAGCTACAAGAGAGAACTGGCAAGTCAGCTATAAGGGAGCCCCAATCAGAATAACATCAGACTTTTCATCAAAAACCCTAAAAGCCAGAAAAGAATGGGAAGATATATTCAAAATATTAAAGGACAAAAATTGCCACCCAAGAATACTTTACCATGCCAGGCAATCATTGTGAAAGGAAGGACAAATAGTATATTTCTCAGACAAACAAAAACTGCAGGAGGTCACATCCATGCAACCAGCCTTACAAGAAATTCTCAAGGAAGTACTAGGTTTGATACCCGAAAAACAATCATCACTGCCGTGAATACTCAAGAAAGAACAAAACCTACCAGTAAAACAAAACTGCTAACAATAAAGAGAAAAAAAAAAGTTTATCTACCACCCCAAGAAACCAACAAATACAGAAGAAAAACAAAATCAGAAAGAAAGGAACAAAAGATACTTAAGACATCTAAACAAAAATCAATAAAATGCTAGAAGTAAATCAACACCTTTCAATAATAACTGTAAATATAAAGGGATTAAATTCCCCACTCAAAAGACACAGACTGACTGACTGGGTTAAAAAGATGGACCCAACAATATGCTGCCTTCAAGAGACTCACCTCACCTGTAAAGACACACATAGACTAAGACTGAAAGGATGGAAAAAGATATACCATGCAAATAGAAATGAAAAATGAGCTGGAGCAGCTATTCTTATATCAGATAAAATAGACTTTAAACCAAAAACCATAAAAAGAGATAAAGAAGGCCTCTATGTAATGATAAAAGGATCTATCCATCAAGAAGACATAACAATTGTACATATATATACACCCAAAGTTGTAGCAGCTAGATTTATAAAGCAAACACTGTGAGATCTAAGAATGAGATAGACACTAACACCATAATATTGGGGGATCTGAACACCCCACTCTCAACACTGGACAGGTCATCTAGGCAAAAAATCAATAGAGAAACACAAGATCTAAACAACACTTTAGACCAATTGGACTTGGCAGATATCTACAGAACATTCCATCCAACAACCTAAGAATATTCATTCTTCTCATCAGCACATGGATCATTCTCCAGGAAAGACCACGTTAGGTCACAAAGCAAGTCTCAACAAATTCAAAAAAATTGGAATTATTCCATGTATTTTTTCAGATCACAATGGATTAAAATTAGAAATTAATAACAAGGGCCGGCCCGGTGGCGCACTGGATAGTGCGCCGCTTGGGAAGCGCGGCGGCGCTCCCTCCTGAGGGTTCGGATCCCACATTCAGACCGGTTCCCGCTCACTGGCTGAGCAAGGCGCAGGAGCGACACCAAGGGTTGCGATCCCGTTGCCAGTCCCCGGTCCG